GTGGTATTGAAGGTGGGAGAGAACGCTGTACATTCACTCCCCCCACCTACAATTCCTGCCGGTACGAGACTCGAACCCGCAACCTTTGGGTTACGAGTCTGACTCTCTTTAGGCCACGACTTCCCCAAAATCTATTTTGAGTTTTTGGTGTTTCAAATTTGTGTCTAACTAGAAGTGCAAATCGTACCTTTTGTTTTGTTTTCTTTAGTCCATTTTGTCTCTGTGAGCTGCTCGATGACTTGGGGGAGGTATTTTATTTGGCTAGTACACTAGAGTTCGTATCCTTGGCTTTGACCTTACTCTTTTTAACTCTTTAGCAGCTGCTGACTGCACTACACCCTGTTCATAAGGCAAACTATAGCTTTTATAAATTGTATGCATGCATACTATTACTGGTAGCAACAAAACCTATATTTAGACTATATATCTATAGACTGTCCCACTGTTGTGACACCTGATTTCATCCTCACCCTGTCTCTCTTGTGTACTGCACATTTTTGGCAAATACAGTCCTGGTATTCAATGTATAAGCATACTACATAGACTTACTTTCAATAATAGTTGATACTTGATAGTATGCAATTCCAAACACCTCAGATTCAGATATATGTCACGAGGTGCTGGTCGGTGACTGTGTCATTGAGTGTATAACCTTATTTTATTCAGTGTAATAATGTCAGAGCACTCATCTAATTACTAAATACTCCTCTTTAATCCTAGTTGTTCCAAATCTCATTAACTGTAATTCGGGATTAACCAGCGAATAATCCACAAGACCATTAGAATGAGCAGCTGTGTAGACCTGTGTCTGATTAATCAAAGAAAAGCAACCAAAGCAAATTTATCCCACACCTTTAGAATTCAGAATTTATTTACATTCCTAAAACAGTGTCTACAATTTCTCAACACTACATACGATCTGGTGTCCTCAACATTTGTGATGAAGATGCTCGCTTGATGTTGTTCATACTGAAAGTGTGGAGCATTAAACATTCATGCAGGATCTCGGCCTTTAACTTAATTGAGAGAGCAAGGTTGTGACACACTGTGGAGTGACACTAGATGGATGTCTCACACACGCTTACGCTGCTGAGATCAAACGTGTGCATGCCAGGGGGATGATGGCCTTTTTGTGAGCGCACTCAGTGACATGCGCTTTCTGAACTGCATGACCTGCTAAGGCTCTCAATGTGAGCCACATGCTTGATCTAAAGACTTCAATGTAAAGTCAGCAGGTGCTAATAAAGCAATATATCACACATGACTTGAGCAAGAGCACTGCATGCATTTGAAGGTAATTACAGACAGCACTCAATCAAGTGATATTGCTTTAATACAACAGTTCAAACTTTTGTTCATTTTAAGGTACTTATAGTGTTGTTAACAAATTGGGCGAGTGAATAATTCACCAACATCCATGCAGCTTGTTGTTGCGAATGATTCAATATCTCACTCATGTAACCTGCAGAAAATCCCCACCACTAATGCACAGACAGACCCGTGTTGCAGCCTGGAATTAAACCATGCCATGCTGGTTTCGTCTGGCCAGAGGAGAACTGGCCCCCCGACTGAGCCTAGTTTCTAACAAGGTTTTTTGTCCATTTCTGTCACCGATGGAGTTTTGGTTCCTTGCCACTGTTGCCTTTGGTTTGCTTAGTTGGGGACGCTTGACTGATTGCACAGACACTATTGGAAGAGCTGAACTGGATCATCAATAAACTTACTTTAGCTAGACACAATCAGTATTGTATAAAACACTATCCAAATAAAGGTGATTTGACAGAAAGTAATACAAACAGTTCTGTTGGATTGTATATCAGTATTTTTCAAATTTATTAGATTCAAGGACCAGAACTTTTTTTTCTTGATTATTTCAACATTAAAGGGGTCATATGATGCGATTTCAAGTTTTCCTTTCTCTTTGGAGTGTTACAAGCTCTTGGTGCATAAAGAAGATCTGTAAAGTTGCAAAGACTAAAGTCTCAAATCCAAAGAGATATTCTTTATAAAAGTTAAGAGTCAGCCACGCCTACCTAAAACGGCTCATTCTAACACGCCCCCAAATATCTATGTCACTATGTGGAAATATTAGCATAACGGCGCGCAAATGTGCACGCAAAGAAGAAGGCATGGTTTCAGTAACAGCAGTAGTGTTGATGCAACCATGTCAGGGAGATGCTGTGTGTTTTAGTGCGAAAGCAAAAGCACTTTATTTGGCCTTCCGGAAGTAGATGCAATTAGGAATCATTGGTTAAGATTTATTTACAACAGAACAGCACAAACCAGATGTTCGAATTTGTGCAACGCATTTTATGGACGACAGTTTTTTGAACCTAGAAGAGTACAAGGCTGGCTGTGCACAAAGGCTATTTCTAAAAAAAAAAAAATGGTCAATTCCGACTTTGCTCCGACGATCTGGCACTTCTGAATCAGCGACTGTAAGTATGTTTTGTTATTAGTTTAAGTATTTGCTATTGACTGTTCAAATGCACAGCACTGAGCAACGTGTCGTGTGTGTGTGTGTGTGTGTGAGGGGAACAGGGTCACATCACAGGAGAGTGAACTGCCTAAAACGACGTGTTTAAGAGAGGCGGGGCATAGAGGACCTACAATAATGCACAGTATTTGAAAAAGAATGTGTTTTTTGAACATTAAAGCATGTCAACATATTCTGTTACACCAAATACACAAAATAATGATCTTTAAAATAGCATCATATGACCCCTTTAAGGGAAAATTATATTTTATAATTTTCCAAACATTATGGGAGCATTAAACTAACATTTAACATAACATTTTTGGACTAACGTCCAACTAAAACATTTCAGAAAAATGTTTCCTGAACATTGCATAAATAATGCTTTCAACATTATGAACTTTGAACAAACATTTTAAGAGAAACTTGCCAGAATGTTAGCCAAAGTTCTGAGAATGTTCCCTGTTAGTATATGCTTGCTTTGTAACTTGCAATTAACAAACCGCAGTCATGCCGCAAATGTTCTAGAGACATTTGATTTATCATTCTGGTGGTTTTGTATGAAGAGCTTTATGTTTGTGTCAGCTGAAACACGAAGGGCTTCCTGGGTGTACAAACAGAAAAAAAGCATGAGGTCAAAATCATTCATAGACGTCTATAACCAACATCTGATCAATTTTAGGCAGATTAGATGCATTCAGTCAGATTTTTTTTTTCATAAAAGTTTTGAAAGATGTTTTGGTGCACTGAATGCATTTGTGGAGGTTTTGTCATGGCCGTCTCCTGCCTTTGAGCTCTTTGGGTCAGCAGGAACAGGATTAGCTGGCCTGTGCCCTAGGTGTCCTTCAGGAGAATTAGGGCAGCTTCCAGCTCTCACGGGGGCAGTCGTCCTGCTGGTCAGCGTTCATGCGGGTTTCTTTGTTCCCAATGGATATTTGGAGTTCAGAAGGAAGTGTCAACTAGCAGTTGCTTTATGGAATTTCAAAAAACTTTGTTGGTGCTTTTGGAGAGTCCAGTGTTTATGTTTTTCAATGGATCCAACTGAGAAAATCTGAGAACTATCCGATTGTCTATTAACCTGGACACGTGGAATGTGATTGTGAACCATCATCTTGAGATCTTCCAGGTGTTATAGCTGACCTTGCTCATCTGATTTTTTGCGTTGTTTTGTGACTGTGATTTTTGTATATTGTGGATGATGCCGACTGAAGCGTTTCCTCTGAGTGGGGCTCAGATAGCCTTGTGTCGTCTGGTTCATCACGGCCCCAGACCACAGGCCACGCTGAGACCTCTGAACCAGGAGCTCAGGCTCTATGTTGAGAAGACACGCACCAAACCTAAATGCAGGTACACGTGGATGCTTTATAGATATTCCTATAATCCAGTTCAGGAAGAATAATGAGCTGATCAATCTGCACACACTTGCAATACATGCTGTATAAAGATGCATATATAGTGTCTGTTTAATGGCAGCTTTGACCAGCATTTTGGAGATAGCAAGTGTTCTTTATTCAGTCAAGCGTCACTATTTTTATATTGCATTTACTTGGATTTAAAAGACAATTCATATTGAGTAGTATTAGAAGGACTGAAACAAGCTGAAAATCACACATACATTAAACACGTTCTCACCTGAACGCGATTAAGTCTAATTTTCAGGCCTAACCATGAAACTCATTTACTGTGAGAGAATGCGTAACCAAAGTTTCTCATGAAAATGTGCATGTTCATTTCCAATCATTAGTCTACAAATATCAAGCCTGTAATTATACTATATATACTATATATTGTGCTAAATATGATATATAAATTATTTATATTGCATATCTTATATATTAATATAATATAATTTATACATAAGCATTTATATTATAATAAAATTAATATGCGTATAATAAAAATACAATAGTATATTATTACATTCTCTCTCTCTATATTAATTTTTTAATATTAAAGTATATTTAAATTAAAAATTTTAATTGAATTGAGCTGAATAATGATTAATGACACTCAATTTGCAACATCAACACTGTTATCAAACTAAATTGAATCAACATTGAACTGACTTGATGTGAATGATGATACTATTGTTTTTTGTAGAGCTGCTTTACAGCTATAATTGGATTTGTTTCATAATTGATGAATTTGACAACATTAGCACTGTAGCTACATTGAAACAAGCACTTAATCAATAAATGCAATACAAATGATTACATTTAGGGTCATTGACCCAAAGTATTACTTAATGAAGCGTGCTTGACTTGTCAAATCATGTGTGTTGTTGTGGAGAATTGTGTTGGTACTTCACTAAGTCATCAGATGCACCATTTTCACTTGAAGGAGGAACGTGAGCCATATCTAGAGAGCGGAAGATCACTGAGACACAGGTCTCTTTTCATACCAGACAGGAAGAAACCACTTAGAATCCACCTGAACCAACCCTAGTAACCATAGAGTCACACTGTCATGGTGGCGATTTATGAAAAGTCAAGCAGCACTCGTATGATTTCAGAAAATGTAAAAAATCGTTTGGTGTCTCTTCCCTTAAAGTGTTATTTTTATTGCAGATTGATCCAGAGAGGAAAGAAACAAAGCAAAGGTGGATGTGAGCCCATACTGCTCCAGCCAAAATACTTTCTTGACCGCAACACATAATAAATCTCTCTCTTGCTCTACAGCAGCCAAGCCAAAAGCTTGTCAAAGTATGGCTAGATATAATTGCTTTCAGACCACTGAAGCTGTGAGGCTTCTGAGAGAGATGGAAATATGTTTTGTGTTGAACTATAATCAGAATGAAGACTGATTGAAACAAAGCTGAATATCACACAGACTACGTTCACACTGCGAGCCTTAGTGCTCAATTTCGATTTAGCTTTTTTTTTGTATAGCTGTTCATATTGTTGTTTGATTCAGATTTCCTGTGTGAACAGATCATGGTTCTGAACTGACCCGCAAAACAACATTACGAACAGGGTTGCCAGGTTTTGCCAGGGGGGTGTGGGGGTCAATATCGCGTTTGTGGGGTCGCTTTAACCCACGGAGTTGAAAAACAACCTGCGGCAACAATGAAAAAGTAGCCCAATTCCGCGGGGAAACTGAGGACTTGGCAACACTTGCGCAGCGCGTTGACATGCGGAAGTAAACACGGAGAACATAAAGTAAGCGATTATGTGTTTATTATTTATAGTGTGATCTTGTTCTATTTTCTTTTTGACAGAGCAAAATGGAATTTTGTGTCTGAAAGTTACTCAGTAACTTGTTTATTGTACATTTGTGATCGTGCAGATATTCGGAAAAACAGGACTCTTGTTTGTGTGATAGGCTAAGTCCATCAAAGGCATGTGTTATAAAATCAGAAACTCATTAAATGACAAGTTTTATTTTTAAAATCATTTTGAAGACATTTCTACCCCACTGTGTGATGGCAGTAAGACGGGAGAGAGCGCTCAAAACTCGTTAGATCGCATAATTTAGTGGAACATTAATATAATATAGAATCATCCTCTGTAAAGAATTTAGGCGTGAACATATGATAATTTATCATTATCTTTCTAAATGTACACTCTTTTGGGCTAAAGCCTTAATGGAGCTGGTTAAAGTAGCCATGTGATCAAGTTAATCGGCGCAGACACTATTCAATACGTGTGTCCTAATTCTATATGATATAATCATAAATACCAGTTTATGTTGTTTGATTATGGCCTCGAAGGTCGCAGTTGGAAGCTGTTAGCCCCGGCTGGCCTGTTTAGCCCTTGCATGTGCAGTGGAAATGCGGCTAATAATTTCTGACTGGCATAACTGAACAAATCAAACAAACGTAAACGGGTAAAGGCGGGGCCCCATACAAAGCGGGGCCCATGGGCTGCAGCCCAGTCAAGCCCAAAGTTTCTCATCGAAACATGTGCATTATCATTTTCAATCATCTACACATATCAAACCTTTAAAGAACATATTAATTATATTATAGTATATGTTATATACATTTATATTCATTTATGTTAATCATATATACAGGCTAAATATATAACATATTTTTATTGCATATTGTACATATAGTATTAATATATGTCTACTATAATGAATATACTGTATTATATCATAGTCTACATATTTATAATTATTATTAATTTATATTAATTAATAATCAATTACACTATATCTATCTATTTATGTAAACGGGTAAAGGCGGGGCCCCATACAAAGCGGGGCCCATGGGCTGCAGCCCAGTCAAGCCCAAAGTTTCTCATCGAAACATGTGATTATCATTTTCAATCATCTACACATATCAAACCTTTAAAGAACATATTAATTATATTATAGTATATGTTATATACATTTATATTAATTTATGTTAATCATATATACAGGCTAAATATATAACATATTTTTATTGCATATTGTACATATAGTATTAATATATGTCTACTATAATGAATATACTGTATTATATCATAGTCTACATATTTATAATTATTATTAATTTATATTAATTAATAATCAATTACACTATATCTATCTATTTATCTATCTCTCTATCTATCTCCCTATATGTGTGCATGTAATTTTTATATAATGCATGCTGCTGTATAGTATATAGTAATATGTATTAAGTATATTAATAATACTATTTAGGGGAAGTCGTGGCCTAATGGTTAGAGAGTCGGACTCATAACCCAAAGGTACCGGCAGGGATTGTAGGTGGGGGGACTGAATGTACAGCGCTCTCTCCCACCTTCAATACCACGACTGAGGTGCCCTTGAGCAAGGCACCGAACCCCCAACTGCGCCCCGGGCGCCTCAGCATAAATGGCTGCCCACTGCTCCGGGTGTGTGTTCACGGTTTGTGTGTGTTCACTGCTGTGTGTGTGTGCACTTTGGATGGGTAAATGCAGAGCACTAATTCTGAGTGTGGGTCACCATACTTGGCCACATGTCACTTCACTTCACTTCATTTTATATATGCACAGATTTGAATGCAATGCAAGTTGCTTTGGATAATAGCATCAAATGCACAAATATAATTAGTATACGTGGTAACAACACAGAATGCATCAAGTCATCTAGACATTATAGATGAATTTAACCAAACAACGACTTTTGGCTGATGATGACATTATTTGCAGTCCTGGATTCACAATCACATATAATACACATGCATTGTGGCATTGAATGACACACAAAAAAATTCCCACAAGATATGATGTCATATGTTATTTTCATGTTATTTTCATAATGGAAACGAGCTGGCATCATTGTAGTATAATGACCATCTGATGTCCTGCACCAAAGTTTTTGTTCCTTTCTGCTTGTGCAATAACAGCTCATTCAGCTCCGGGTCAACATATAATGTGCAATATATCAGCCATTTCCCACATCTATTAAACAACACCTACTAAGCTAAATGTTAGGCTTTGTGTGCTGCTAACAGATACTATGTCACTGCACTTTTTTTTTTTTTTTTTTGCATTTTTCAACATGTTTCATAGAGGTCAATCAAAGTCAGACAAGCATATTGGTTTTGAATCTATGTAGATGCTCGATTCAATACAGCCTAATATCTATTCATTGTTCAAAATGCTCTGATCAAATACTTTTTTGAGGTGTATAAATCATGTATGTTCATTTGCTTTCCGAGGATGATCAACACCAGCTGTCAATAATAAAGGTCTTAATAAGTCCAGCCATGTTAGTGTGCAGTTCAGTGTTCAGCGTTTCACCAAACTTGACAACATTATGGCATTTTCCCAGAGAAAGCCCATCAGTTTCATTGATTAATGCCTTGTGTTTGCAGGATGGAGGCATCTTGTCTGGAGCTGGCGCTGGAAGGGGAGAGACTGTGTAAAGCGGGAGATTTTAAAGGTGGTACTGCCTTCTTTGAAGCTGCTGTTCAGGTGGGAACAGAAGATCTCAAGACCCTCAGTGCCATTTATAGCCAGCTGGGTAATGCTTACTTCTACCTGAAGGAGTACGGCAAAGCCCTGGAGTACCATCGGCACGACCTCACGCTCGCCCGGTGAGAACACTGACTCTGACGGCCATTTATAGCCACTTTAAGCAGTGAAATTACGTTTGAGCTCAGTTTCATGCAAGTTTGTGTCCAACGAAAATAAATGGCACTGCATTGTAATTCAGGACAATCGGGGACCGGATCGGGGAGGGGAAAGCCAGCGGGAATCTGGGGAACACTCTGAAGGTTTTGGGCCGCTATGATGAAGCAGTTGTGTGCTGTCAGAGACACCTGGACATTTCTCAAGAACAAGGAGACAAGGTGAGAAAACCACCGTCAGGAATTCTTTAGATCTGACTAGACCGAGAAAGTGATTTGCAGTTTTGTGAGCAATATTCATTAGACGTACAGTGTACAGATGTGGCCACTCAATGTCAATATCACCTTTATTAGGGTTATTGTTTTGTTTGAGCGACTCGCTGAATGGAGACTGAATGTGTTACTGGAGCACACATTGATGGATTTGATATCTAACAACAAACCACAAATACGATTTGCAGTTGTATTCTCAGGGAATGCTTGAGCTGATAAAATTACCTTGAATGAAATGTAGGCCGCTTTGGATAAAAGCGTCTGGAAAATGTAAAATGTAAACATAAACCTTGGAATCTGGGATTGCCTTGACCATGAATAATACACGTTATGCAACGTATCTTAGTTTGGAGCAACTATTGTGAAACCTACCTGTTAGTGAGTACTTATGACTTATGATGATATATATATGCAAAAAAAATTATGATGTATTGTAGTTTAAATTTATTTTAAATGCAACTAGCTGAACTTTAGAGTATTTAAAACCTGCTTAATTAGGAATTAAGTACATATTTATACTTACAACATAATTATTCTATTGTATAGTGTACAACATATAGTGTACTGCTGAATGTACTGACAAACATTTATGGTAAAATATACTTTAATGTCATTCTATTGAAGCTTGTATGTCATGTATTAAACGCATTTGTAATTACACATTTGTAATGAAGTTTCAATTTAGTACATTTAAAATATATATTAACTTTAAATGCAATACGCAATAACACACTACAGTTAAAATTATAATCAAGTACTTTACATGTGCTTTAGTATGCTTGCCAACACATATTGTAATGTACTAAAGTTGGTAGACTAAAATGTATGTATTTTAAATGCACTAAATAAGTGTACTTATTTAAAGCACGACAAAAGATTATTAAAACATAATGATTTAAAATGTACATTAAAGTAAAACATTTAATTTGACATTTATTACAAAGTGCACTTTTTTATAGTGTACTTAAAGGTGTTAAGAAACAGTGATGAGAGTGTCTCTAAATGCACTTAAGTGGCTTTTAATTTAATTAACATTATAATATTTGAAAGTATAGTTTTTAAGATTTTAAGTACACTACAAGTGCACATTCAGTACAAGGTTATAATGCAGCGTTTGCAAGCCATTGCACCTCTTTAATGTGATGTATCTCATAATGTTGATTATAAAGTGCTGTCTAGGCAGGTGGCACACTTGATTTCAGAGCAGAGCCAGTGTAATGTTTCTCAAAGGTTTCTGTACTGTTGAGTCTGCTGGTCTGTTGAAATAAAAAATACATGAAATTGTAAACCAGCTATAAGCAGTGAACAAACGGCTGCTGTATGCAGGTCGGCGAGGCCAGGGCTCTGTATAACATGGGGAACATGTTTCATGCCAAAGGAAAGCAGCAGCTGTGGGGCATCTCACAGGATCCCGGAGAGCTTCCTCCTGACGTCAGAGACACGCTGCAGCGAGCCACATCTTTCTATGAGTGAGTCCATCACACACACACACAGACTGAAGCATCTGAGCATCATTAGGCAGAACCCACCGAGACCTGTTTGCCCGACTGCAGCGCGGCTCATTATTAACAGCGACACTTAGCAGATCCAGAAGGTTAAACGGCACATAAACGAGACGTCATTTTAATTTGACAATTATTACAAAGTGCACTGTTTAATAGTGTACTTAAAGGTGTTAAGAAACAGTGATGAGAGTGTCTCTAAATGCAATTAAGTGGCTTTTAATTTAATTAACATTATAATATTTTGAAAGTATAGTTTTTAAGATTTTAAGTACACTACAAGTGCACATTCAGTACAAGGTTATAATGCAGCATTTGCAAGCCATTGCACCTCTTTAATGTGATGTATCTCATAATGCTGATTATAAAGTGCTGTCTAGGCAGGTGGCACACTTGATTTCAGAGCAGAGCCAGTGTAATGTTTCTCAAAGGTTTCTGTACTGTTGAGTCTGCTGGTCTGTTGAAATAAAAAATACATGCAATTGTAAACCAGCTATAAGCAGTGAACAAACGGCTGCTGTGTGCAGGTCGGCGAGGCCAGGGCTCTGTATAACATGGGGAACATGTTTCATGCCAAAGGAAAGCAGCAGCTGTGGGGCATCTCACAGGATCCCGGAGAGCTTCCTCCTGACGTCAGAGACACGCTGCAGCGAGCCACATCTTTCTATGAGTGAGTCCATCACACACACACACACAGACTGAAGCATCTGAGCATCATTAGGCAGAACCCACCGAGACCTGTTTGCCCGACTGCAGCGCGGCTCATTATTAACAGCGACACTTAGCAGATCCAGAAGGTTAAACGGCACATAAACGAGACGTCAAGAGACCAGAGGTGTCAGACGGAGGACAAACGGCCTCAAACAGTCATTAGTAGCTCCCTCTGTGTGTCCGTTTACTAGGAAAACATGGAGAACAAGGACATCTGCTCTTCCAAAATCAAAAACGGCTCACAAAAATGGATTTATGTATTTCAATTGCATATCAAATTTGGATTGCACAGTTTTAACATGGACTGAGAAACTTAACGTGATGCATGCCTGTCAGTCATTTCTGCACTAAAAAAAAACAAACAAACATAGTTTATTATTAACTATTTGCATTTATTTGATTTTATTCATATAATCAATTTTTCAAATTGCATTTATTCAAATGGATTAGAATCAGAACACATTCAGTTTATTAGTAGAATTACAGAAATCAGACCTATTTCCTTTATGTATGACTGAGAAATATGCATCACATTAGGTTTATTAGTTGATATTAAAACTATAATCCAGATGGGTGGAAATATGATATGCAAATATTTTATATTTTACATGCATAATCACAAATCCTAAATTTAGGCCTTACTTTAATGTAATTTCTATTGAAAGTTCATACTGTATATTTAAGTAATGTCATGTATTTAAATAGATTTGTAATTACACATACAGTATGTATTGGAGTTGCAATTTAGTATATTAACTTTAAATGTAACATCAAATAACACACTACAGTTACAATTATAGTACTTTACATGTGCTTTAGTATGCTAGTCAACACATCAAAATAAGAGTACAAAGATTATCAAAACATAATGATTTAAAACGTACTTTAAAATACAACTTTTATTTTGACATTGCACTTTATAAACGTGTTAAAAAGGAGTCATGAAAGTGTCTTGAGTAGCCTTTTATTATTATTATTACAGTTTTTAAAAATATAAGATTTGAAGCACTACAAGTGCACATTCTGCACAATTAAAAGCACACTTGTTTTTCACAATGTTGTCATGGTAAACATGAATGTGTTTTTAACTTGAATAAAGTGAATTGCAGATGAGTGTTTGTCTGTTTCAGGATGAATCTCTCTCTGGTTAAGGAGCTGGGAGACCGAGCAGCGCAGGGAAGAGCCTTCGGTAACCTCGGGAACACTCATTACCTGCTGGGTAACTTTGTTGAGGCCATCAAGTTCCACAGAGAGGTACGAGCCAAGCAACACTGACCATCAGCTCATTTACTCACCTAACTGTGCACACTCACATGTTCTCTGCTGCGGTTGAGAGAGCAGCTCAGGCTAGCAGGGATCTGTTTTTCAGAGTAACACACAGTCCCTTCTTGTTTTTCCAGCGTCTCTCCATTGCAAAGGAATTTGGCGACAAGGCCGCCGAGCGCAGAGCATACAGTAACCTAGGCAACGCTCTCATTTTCCTTGGCCAGTTCAATGCAGCCACAGAGTATTACAGGTAACCATAACTACAGAGCACCATCTAGAGGATGAGTCACGTGTGACCAGCCTTTTTATTAAAGAAAAGGAAGCGATATGCAATAAACAGGAGAACATTAAAGAGCATTGGCAGAAAATGTAACTTGTGACAAACAAGACGAAACACTCACACAAAAGAAAGATAAGCAAAATAAATGAATGAATAAAATAATGTAAATGAAAAAGTGAACAGCTGCATCACAGTTGTAGTTTACACACTATGGATTGTTTACCCTGAAAGTATTTGTGCTTCTGATTGCATGGTAAAACTCACAAATACGTGAGAGACATATGATCAGTTACACCTTGATACAGAACATGTTTTGAAACGTATTTATTGGTGCACTCTGTTGTTGTTTTTTTCTCATTGAAAACATTTTATACTTAATTGAAATGGAAAAACATGAGGCTTATTGAGGAGAGGTGAGATGTTACTTATCTAGACAATATAATACACACACTTTAGTTCAACTTTTTTTAACTCATAAAAACTAGATATGTTGGTATAAATTAATGTTTAGTTTGGTACAGCCATATTTAATAACTTTTTTATTTTTAGATGTTACCATTTTAGGTAACTATCTTTTTCTACTTTTACTATTTTTTAGGTTACTGGTTAAAGGGGTCATATGATGCGATTTAAATTTTTCCTTTCTCTTTGGAGTGTTACAAGCTCTTGGTGCATAAAGAAGATCGGTAAAGTTGCAAAGACTAAAGTCTCAAATCCAAAGACCTCTGCTCACTCAAGCCAGCCTACGCTCACTCAAGGCAGCGGTGTGTGACGCTGTTTCATTGTGAAAGCGAAACTACTTTGTTTGGCCTTCCAAAAGAGGACATGACTAGAAATCAGTGGTTAATTTTAATGTTTATGTCTCGTCGCTCTGGCCGAACAGGGCATCACAATATGGTAAGGGGCGTAACATTTCCGTCACACGCTTGAGGTATTCAGCCAATCACAATGCTCTGGATAGCTGGCCAATGAGAGCACACCTCGCTTTTCAGACCGATGAGCTTTGTAAAAATCGATGCATTTCAGAAAGGCGGGGCATAGCGGAGAAACGCTAATGTACAGTATGTGGAAAATAATGTGTTTTTTTAACCGTAAACCGCATAAACACATTTCATTACACCAAATACACAAACTAATGTTCTTTTTAGCAGCATCATATGACCCCTTTAAAAGTTTGGGGTCAGTAAAATTTTTTTTTTTTTAAAGAAATTATTAGTTTTATTCAGCAAGGACGCAATAAATTGTTTAAAAGTGACAGTAAAAATGTAAATAAATGCTGTTCTTTTGAACTTTCTATTCATTTGTGAATCCTGACCAGAAATGTTTCTTGAGCATCAAATCAGCATATTAGAATGATATCTGAAGGATCTAGGCACTGGGACTGGGGTAATGATGCTGAAAATTCAGCTTTGATCACAGCAATAAATTACATTTCTAAACGTATTCACATAGAAAACAGCTATTTTGAATTATAATAATATTTAAAAAATTTTACTGTATTTTTGATCAAATAAATGCAGTCTTGGTGAGCAGAAGAGACTTCTTTCACAGAGGTTTGCTCTGTTGTTCAGGAACACTCTGCAGCTCTCTCGGCAGCTGAAGGATCAGGTGATGGAAGCTCAAGCATGTTACAGTCTGGGAAACACGTATACGCTGCTGCAGGAGTATGAACGTGCCATAGACTATCACCTCAAACACCTGCTCATCGCTCAGGAGCTCAATGACAGGTGTGAACCATGAAATCACACAAACACAGACTCACCTTCACATCAGCGCGACTCTTAACTAGTAACGTGTTCTGTGGGTCTGGTAGGGTCGGGGAGGGCCGGGCCTGCTGGAGTCTGGGCAACGCTTACGTGTCGTTGGGAAACCACCGTCAGGCTCTGCACTACACCCGGAAACACCTGGACATCTCCAGAGAGGTGAGGCCAGACTGATTCCACGTCCAGCAGTGGCTCTCGTGCTTTGCTTGTGTGTAACTTCGTGCTTTGCTTTCTCAGATCGGGGACAGGAACGGAGAGCTGACCGCCAGGATGAATGTGGAGGAGCTGATGGAGGCTCTCGGGGTGAAGGAGGGCGATCTCTCACCGGTTGAATCTGAGTTTGAAGTGCAGGGTAACAGACTCTCGGATGATTCGTATCTGTAGATGACAAGTACACACACCATATAAAACACTTCACCCGTCCTGCAGTATACAGGGATTAAAGTTCCGTCGCTACGACGGATTTCCGTCAGTTCATAAAGACAGTCACTTGCTTCATTCCTGAATGATTCAGACGTTCGAACTAATCAATTGAATGAATGATTCGGTCATAAAATCAGTGACTTGCCGCCACCTGCTGGCGGATTTAGTTTCATTTTTCAAGTGACAACTTGCCCCGACCTGACAGTGGTGTTCAACCCTTCAATTCAGATTTCATCATATAGTGACTTTGTGCATGTCTGTATGATTTCACTGTTTACTTGTTACTCAACACATTATAATATTCTAATAATAATTATAATTGTCATCAACTTTTACTTGTTTTCTGCAACAGGAGCCAGACCCAAGTTCACCAAGAAGAACAGCATGGACAGTGTTGACCTGTGGAAATACAGCTCTGAAAAGGTGCTCACTTGCTCAACATCTAATTGGGTGACCAGGATTTTGCCATGCAGGATGTGAACCTGAATCAAAATCTTTTTTAGTCTTTGAACAAAATGGTGGGAAAAGAATCATGGTGCGACATTGAGCAGATCTAAATTTAATGCTGCAGTCAATACTTTTATTCGCGACAGTCGTGATGGATTTAGTTTAACTGTACTGCAGCATTTTTGTACACGTGTGTTGCCGTAGTTTCTACAAGGATATTACGTCATTGATAGGCGACAATGAATGGGACGAGCCATTATTTAAAATCTGAATTTTTTTTTTACACATCCTTGGGAACTTTTGGGATAACGTAAGTAGACAACTGCATGAAATATATAACACTGTGCAAGTGGTTTTTGGATATTTTATTACGAAAATCTTACATATTGTGCCTTTAATGTCCACATCAAAATGTACTCTCATCCAGGAGCATTTCCCGCTGGGCAGAATCATGGTTGTGCAGAAACACAGACATGTTGCTTTACTGTAACTGTACATGCTGATGTGAGGCTAATGTGATCTTGATGTGACGTGATGCTGCTGTAATATGAGGCTGATGTGTATCTGATGTGATGGTGATGTAGGGTTGCAAAGGAGTGGGATATTTCCAGAAACGTTCCAAAAGTTTCTGAAAAATCCTGATATTTTCTGAAACTTTCCAAAAAATCATGGAAAGTTTCCAAATTTTCCAAAAAGCTTTGGACATTTTCCGCCTCTTTGCTGCTGTGATGCTGATGCGATGCTGCTTTTGTGCAGCAGAATGAAGATGCTCCAGATGTTGATGGTGTTTCAAGGAGGTCGAGGAACCAGCTGTCTCAGTCGAGCAGAAGCAAAAGTTACGCGGACAGTCAGTCGTCAGATGAAAGACAGTGGCTCGACTCGCCTGTGGACACGGATGACATCACTGTTGACGTCACACCTCCAGTGAGTATCTATCTATCTGTGTATACCTCTGTGTATACCCGTCCATCCATCCATCCATCCATCCATCCATCCATCCATCCATCCATCCATCCATCCATCCATCCATCCATCCATCCATCCATCCATCCATCCATCCATCCATCCATCCATCCATCCATCCATCCATCCATCCATCCATCCATCCATCCATCCATCCATCCATCCATCCATCCATCCATCCATCCATCCATCCATCCATCCATCCATCCATCCATCCATCCATCCATCTATCTGTGTATACCATCTATCTATCTATCTATCTATCTATCTATCTATCTATCTATCTATCTATCTATCTATCTATCTATCTATCTATCTATCTATCTATCTATCCATCTGTCTGTCATCTATGTGGCTGTCTACCCATCTATCTACAGTATATTAGATATATACTGCTTAGGTGAGTTGAAAGTTGCTAGCACAGCGGTGTTTTAATGAGATTAATTGTTTTTTTGGTGACAGTAAGAGTACAGTGTAAGTGTGCAGATGTATCTTTCTGCAGGGTGTTAATTCAATCTATGCTTTAAAGTGCTACACTAAAGGTTTCACTTGATAGCCATGGCTTTCTGTGTTCCTCTCTTAATCAATACACACCAGCTGCACGGCTGCTAATGCATCCGTGTGCATGCGACTTTCCCAGAGGATGAGGAATATATGAAAATATGGCTGTTTCAGTGTGCATCATTTCCTGCTGCTGATGTCTATACATGATTATCAACTTACGTTTCACAACTCCCTTTGCTTTAATTAAAAAACAAAAAAGTATATATATATATATATCTATATAT